TTTCATGAAAGTAGCAGCAGTAGCATATAAACAAGCAAATTACTCTGGGATTTATAATTTTTACATCTCAGTGTTCTGTTGATAATAACTTTTTACAATATTATTATTGCTTTATCATTATTATCATTAGTATTATTATTATTAAGATTTTATTCATGAAACATCAGCCCCAGTTTCAGGGTTCAAACATCAGAAAATGCAAGATTTCTCAAAAGCTTTCAGAAGGAGAAAGTTCACTGAGGATGTGAGGCCTCGGATTACAGAGTACACTTCCTATTTCAGAGTAACAGCTTTTTCAAAACCTCTTGCTGATGTAATAAAGTGTGGATCACTCTCGTCTTATCTAATGAATGTATCTGTGGGAGATGTGGAAGTGAAAGCAGGACTGTAAAATTACAAGCAAGGTGGACGGGACACAAATGTCCAGCTAAGAGGAAAGGAAAGCATCTCATTTAAAAAAATTCAGGGTTTAATCACCAGGTCAGCAAAACTGCCTCACAGTCTCAGGAATATGAGGTAACTTGTTAACATATTAACTACCACATACCTGATCACGTGCCTGTCATGAGTTCAATCACAATATACATCACACTATTTGATCAGTGACTGAGTTCATAGGATTGGGTTTAGACTTGATGATACTTTTGTAAGTATGGCGAATATCCACATGAAATTTCAAGTGCTGAAAAACTCATTTAAGCTCTGTTAAAAACATGAATCATTTGAGCTTCAGTATCATGAGATAAATCATTACTTGAATAAACTGCACCAATTTATTGTTATTATCTAGATTTAGAGCAACAGGAACAAGGTTTGAAACCATGGATGTTTGATCTGTTTAATGATAATTCACCGAATAAAACTTTAAAAAGTGCATTCTGGGTAAACTTTCAAGAGTCACGTCAGCATGTGTGATCAGTGGCTGCTCCCTGAAGTCAGAGCAAAGGTCTCTTTTTTACCTACATTTGATGCCAGGCTCATCTTTTAGCCATGATTCTTTAGGAGTCAAAATCATTCCTGAAACAGAGCAGATGATCACTTTCTGCCAAGCGGCGTCGAGAGCAGCTCTGAAGCACCTGTTGCATAATAAACAGCTTTACTACAAATGTTGAGGTTGTGGACTTCATCAGGATCATCATAAAACACATTACAGGCAACATTTCAAAGGGTAAGAAGGTAAGTATGCTTCTGGTTAGATGTATATGATGTTTGTTATATTTATGATGGCCCCGATGAAGGCCACAAGCAGAAACACATTAGAGTATTAAAGTTTATTTTTATGCAGTCATGACCAAAGGTTTTGGCAGTGCCACATATTTAGTGTTTTATATACATTTTGCTGTTTCAGTTTTTATCTAGCTTTTTTTTGTATGTGTTTGTGATCTAGTGAAGAACAATGGTAAGAAATCCAGTTTCAAACACTTACAGGAGAGTCAGTATAATATATGATTTAAGTCCACTATAGTAAATATTACAGTGCTGAGCAAAGATTCTTGATGTGAAGTTTGGGAAGCTTCCTGGCCAAGGATCCAAAATGTTTATTTGATGATCTCAAAGCCTCTTAGTTACCACTTTTATCTTGCGACAAAAGACAAAAGACATCCTGCTGGAAGATCATCAGTCTGAGGATGTTTTTATGCTAGTTTTTGAGTCGAATAGTGATAATCTTGGAACTGTGATAAAGCAGGAGGATCACCATCTAGGGCCCAGAAACTGACAGACAGAAGGGTCGACACTGTAAACGTTAACTTTTTGCATACATATTAGCCCTGTGCCATATTTATGGCCAATAAAAGTCTTTGAAACTTGTGAAATGCTTATGATTGTTCTTCACTAAATCATAAAAAAAACAAACATTTAACCTTCTTCAAAATAATTTTTGTTCAGCATACATAAATATATCTGGAAAAGTGAAAATATAAAAACTTGAAATTTTGAGGAATTGTCAAACAATTCTCAACTGTTGAACCTGCACCAAGAATTTGTCCAAAGATGGAGCTCAGCTGGACATGATAGAAAAGAAGCTTGATCAAGAACAGCATCGGACTTGACCAAAAACTCAAGTTTATGAGAAATCTGCACTAACATAAGACTGAGACCTTTGGGAGTTTGTTTGCAGTTTTTAACAGAGATTAAATGTGAGGTTTTTTTTCAGCCCTAAAAAAGTAAAAATACTCAAAAACTTATAATACAAGTTAGATAAATCTTAACTTTGACAGCAAGTTACTCTGAAAATACACATTATATGAAGGTAGAAGCATGCATGGCTCCATGACATATATTTAAGTTGTTGTAGATTTAAAAAACAGATGGGTCAGGTGGAAACTTTTCTCAGACTCAGGCTGATTATTTTTGTTGCTGTAATGAACCTGCTCCCAGTTTGGTTAATACAGAACAGTAATAAATGTGATGGTGTGATAAATGTGAAATTTTATTTAATTTGGAACAACTTTACAAGATTAATTTTGATTATTTGCTGGTGGATCACGCAGATGATAAAAAATCGCAGTGGTTCTATTTAAAATCAAACACACTCAGGCAAAAATAAATCTGCAGACTCAGAAACTTTTCAAAAATCAACAGTTTTTTAATCCTTACAAGAACGAAACATCAAAGTTCAAACTTATGCAAAAGCATCACTTCACAAAACAAGACCAAACTATTACCATCCATGTAATTATTAATTAGACAATCAAAGTAAAAATCAGAGCAGTATCAGTGAAAACGCCTTATTGGTGCAGCTTGAGTTTATCGGACTGCTGCTGCTGCCACCTGGTGGTGAAGTGACGCTATAGCAGTCTCATTTCTGCACATCCAGTACAATACAAACGTCATTATAGGAAAATAGTGCGCAGCAAGTGTCCTCTTACTTATGAAAAAAAATCAGCAGATCATAATCATTAAAAAAAAACCACAGGATACAATAGTGCATCGATTTTCAAAGGATTGCATCCATCGTTTGAATATTTATCCACATGTGAAATACAAAATACAAAAACACCACAGTGAGAGAGTGAGTCTGACATCTACACCGGTCAGGTGATTTAAGAAGCAATCACAGGCTCGTATGGCTGAAGCGTGTGGGAGGAAGAAGACATGCAGGTGTATACACAAAGGGCCCCGCGACCCCGCGGCGAATCAGACGAAGGCCAGAATCTGAATCAGAGTCCGCTTGTATAGAGTTTCTTCTCGCCAGTCCACTTCAGAAGCTTCCTGAGTTTCTACGAGTAAAAATATTGCTGTTTGTTCTTTGTTCCATCGTCAGCTGAAGTTTTGGACCAATGAGCTTCCCAGCAGAACTCTGAGCTCATCATGTGATCTGAGAGGCCACAGAAGGGCAGTGTTACCGCCTAAAGTCTGAAGGCTGCTTCAAAGTTGCACTATCACTTAATAAGACTTAAAAAGATCGAGTAACAACTGAGGAATTTGTCTCATGAGAAGTCAAATAATCTAAAAAAAATAAAAGCCCAAAAAATATCTCAAAGTTTGATTTTTTTTTCACACAACAAAAACACCTCAAATAAATTCTAAGAATAGTTTTTAAATTAAGAGATATTTTGTCTTCATTGTGAGAACTTTTCAATATAAGTCTACCATTTTTTCTTTTGTTAAAACCAATAACAGAAAAATTAAGGTATGAAGTCCATGATTGGTCTGTGATGAGTTTAAGGAGGCGGAGTCTGAAATGGAATGAGGTTGTCATCTTTGTACTTTACCTACAGACTGTATATAAAAGATGGACATGGTCACTTAAGGTGAATAAAGCTGAAATAATCAACAGTGAAGACTTTAAAAATCATGTGACTGGTGATTTTGTTGAAAGACTTCTTTGTTAGAAAATCTGGAATGGGCGAAGTTTGTTCACTATTGTTATAAACATAAAGTTCAGCTAGCTAAGCCAGCTTAGCTTAGCTTTTACAGGGTTTTTCTTTCCTCAAAATTGGTCTTATGACCAATTTTTTAAAATAACAAAGGCGGTGATCTCTTTCAAAACCCAAACATATGCAGGAAATTTTGTTTTCAGATGTTAATTGAAATGGCACTCATGAGTTTTTGATAGTGCTAGCTGAAACAGCATGGAGGCCATAATTTCTCTACTCAGAAAAAAAGTTACTAAAGTATGAACACACAGCACCCCTTGGTTTCTCTTTCAGCTTGCCTCCAGTTTTAAAATAGCAACATGGCAATGGTCACAAACCAACAGGTAATATCAGTATCTGTGTCTATCTTTTACATAACATTGGTGGTTTGGGTGTTAAAAACAACAGAAAAAAATGTTGCTAGCAAAGCAGTGCCCTATTCTTTAGAAGATCAAAAAGTGACAGCTATTTTAAATGCAAAGAAACTAAATATTATGTGTACTCTCCGGCCAATCACAATCCAGTGTTCTCCACAGTATGACAAACCTTTCAGGAGGTGATGTAGGTGCTCCATTATTATGTAACTTTGTGCTATTAAACTAATTGAATAAATTCAATAAATCTCACTGCCCCTCTGGGCTTCCGTCCTTGAAACGCTTTCCTTGTCACACCTCGTAGTGCAGATCATTGAGTTCCAGTCTCGTGTAGTGGCGTCTGTCGAAGGACTCCATTGCTTTTCGGCCTCCAATGGCGAGGGCCATTGTGAGGATGGCAAGCACCAGCACCACAAATGCCACCATGCCGCTTTTCATTGCTCCATGTGCTGCTATCCCTTTGCCTCTGGCAGCACTTGAATTCTGGAGGATGTGGTCAGACTGAACAGCACCTTTGGGGACAATTAAAAGAGTCGCCGCGGGCGTTGTCCTGGTGATGGGGGCCTCAGTGGTGGTGGTGGTAGTTGTAGTTGTTGTTGTGGTAGGGGTGGGAGTGGTTGTTGAAGGGGGAGGAGGGGGGTTTGTGGTGGTAGTTGACGGAATAGTAGTGGTGGTGGTTGGAGGCGTGGTTGTGGTTGTTGTGGTAGTTGAAAGTGTGGTGGTTGGAGGTGTTGTGGTGGTTGGAAGTGTTGTAGTCGTGGTCGTGGTGGTTTCAGTGTTTGGCTGAAGTTTTTCAGTAGTTCTGTATTTGGCCTCCTTGTTCATTGTTACAACAGGAAATGAGGTGGTTGGAGTGGTGCTTGGGGTGGTGCTTGGGGTTGTGGTGGGGGTGGAAGTATGAGTTGGCTGGGTGGTGGTGATGCTGATAGGATGAATTTTTCCTTTCCTGGAGGTTTTAGTTTGCTTTTTGGTGGTTTTGTTAGGCTTTTTCGTGGAGGTGGTGGAAAGAGGTGATGCTTTTGCAGTGGTGGGTGATGAGGTCACTGCTGCCATTGTGGCAATTATGATGATGGGTGGAGGTGTTGGGGTGGGGGTGGAGGTGGAGGTAGGGGTTGAGGTTGTGGTTGATGGTAAGGTAGTGGTAGTCGGTTGTGTTGTGGTAGTGGTTGTTGTCATTGTGATAGTGGTTGGTGGCATTGTTGTTGTTATACTTTTTGGGGTTGTTGGTTGTGCAGTTGTTGGCGTAGTTGGTGCCAGTGTGGTGGTGGTTGTGGTGGTGGTAGTGGGGGGAGGTCTCACAGTGGTTGGATGAAGTAAACCTGTGCAGGAAAGAACACATGAAGACATAAACTTAAAGATTTGTATAGAATTGTTTGGTAAGCAGGGGCAGCAAAACTCCACAATCATCCAAAATTCAACACAAACAAGAAAAAGTGAGTTTTAGAAGGCTGAAAAACAATTATACTGACATTTGATCCAATTTGGAAAAAACCATCCATGAATGGTTTGGGTTTAGTGGTATGTCACATATTACAGGTGTGTCTCAAGCTGACATATAGGGCTCCATAGCTCAGGGGTTAGAGCACTGGTCTTGTAAACCAGGGGTCGTGAGTTCAAATCTCACTGGGGCCTTAACTACATGCTTTGTGTGAAAGAAGCATACTGTCCATTAACTCTCTGGGGAAAAAACTCCAGGACATAAAATATACCCCATCATTTGCAATGTTTGTTCAGGTACTTGTCAACTATCTTTCATGAAACAGGAAAGTTGACACATTAATATTTAAAATTATTATTCTTTTATATACAGGTGAAGGTATTCACGATAACCATGATATTTGAAAATAGGACATCAATAATGCACATATATAATAACATTGTATATTATTTGCTAATGTTATGGTTATGGACCTCTATGTAGTTGTATTTTGAGTTTAATTATTCATCCATTCCCTTCCACTTATCTAGTTCAGGGTTGCAGGGGGAGGGTCTGGAGCCTATCCCAGACATGCACAGGGCTAACACAGAGAGACAGTCAACCAGTCGTGATCACATTTGCACCTAAAGGCAATCCAGTCTTTAAGTCTGCCATCATTAGCTATGTCTGGGCCCAAACTACGCTGCAGGTCCCTAAGACAAACGATCACTGCGGCATTACTGAGAGTTGAAAAACTGTCTAAATTCTTTCATCTGTAATAAAATGATCAACATTGCTGCTCTTCTAGGGGTAACAATTAAGTTTAACATCCAGGCATTCATGAAAATAGAATTTATGAAATTTAATGGAGTTAGAAGTTAGCAGTGAGTTAGCATCTAAATAGAATATACCATGTTCTGACTGAGAGATTTCTGAAAACAAATTAAGACGTACAGCTCTGTTATCACCTTTACTATCACAGGAAAGTAAACAGCAGGGACATTTTGTTGGGTTACTGAAGTTTGACTAGCTGGTATATAATGATGTACAAGGTGATCGCTAGCGACACAGCTATGTTAGCATAATATACACAGTGACGCTGGAGGACGAACACTAACTTTTTTCCACTCAATAAAAGGTAACGTGAGGGTTCCCAATGGTTAGGGATAAATGCAATCGCATGGCAGGATGCTGTAAATGGACCAAACTTCAGCCAGGAGAACAACTGAGTTAATCCATCCACAATACGCGGTTAGTAATTAATATACTGCTGCATTGCCTGGGTTGTAGCTACATCGCAAGGTTTTAAAAACTGTGCTTTAAAATTAATAGCAGTAATAAAAACTGAGAGGCTGACAGTGATCACTGACTGTTTTTAGGGGCTTTTGGGGATTAGATAGAACAAGATGAAAGCATTAAAACTAGTGCTGTCAGCATTAATCTCGTTAAAATGACTCTAATGCCATAACCGCATTAACGCAGCAAATCTCTGTTAGCGAGTTAACGCGGATCGCCCCGTGTGTGGGGCTGCACGGCGACAACGCATTAACATGTTTAGCTCGTTAACATGTTAGTGCCATGCAACCCCACGCACGGGGTGATCCGTGCTAATTCGCTAACAGAGATTTGCTGCGTTAATGCGGTTATGGTGTTAACATCATTTTAACGAGATTAACGTTGACAGCACTAATTAAAACGTTAAAAACACAAAAGCCTCATTAAACGCAGAGTAGTTTGGGCCCGGAAGCAGGATTCATCACAACATCGCTTAAAGACCGGATTTAGAATCACTGATTAACCTAACCCCACTAATTGCATGTCTTTGGACTGTGGGAGGAAGCCAGAGTACCTGGAGAAAACCCATACAAACTCCACACAGAAAGCACAGCCAAAAATGTGTGTGGGGAGGGTAATTGATTAACGTGACTGATCTTCCACAGGTATCAAGATAATATCATTATCATTAATTTTGCTTTTGTTTTTTTTTTAATAATAATGAAGTGAAGATCCTACGGTGAAAAATGAAAACTATTTTCTAAACTAATCAATAATACTTCTAGTTTTGGCTTAAATTTACTTATTAAAAATCTTCAAGAATCCGAAGCTGAATGTATGCAAAGCTGGGTCACTCATGTCTTTGTTCATTATGCATTTAATCATCATTATTAAAGTCATTTTCTGTGTTTACAATGAGTATCTGACGTACCTTTGTAGATGTCATAGGTGTTGATGCCCTCCTGAGCCTTCGTTAAAGGACAGTCCTGCTCCATCTGACAGTGGAACAGGAAGCAGTTCTCATCACCAGCGTGTTTGTTCCCGTTGAAAACCACCATGTTGCATTTAGCACCTTCAGAAACACAAAGTTAGTTTTTTCCTTTCACTTTTTTGAGTCACAGTTTTTGGCTTATAGTGGTCTGCTGTGACCTTTGAGACTGATGAGCCTACCATAGAGAAACTGTGATATATCCCACAGTAGCGGTGGTTACAGAAAAAAAAAACACTGACCAAAAACCAGATATAGTCTTTAGATGGTGACATGTGGCCGTCAAAGCCAGTAACCTGGGTTATACTTTCTCTGACTGAATTAGGTATACATGATGAAACAAGAAGAGAAGCTCCCCTTTAATGAAGCTTTGATTTTGCTTCTGTCTGGTTTTGAAGGTAAATTTTTAAATTTACAATCTGCACAATTTACCTAAAACTTTCACCACCAGGGGCAGCGTGACCTCAGTTCTCAGGCTTTCCTCAGCACTATACAAAGGTATCTGGGACATACAGTCATTGCTGTTGTTTCTATAGATCCTGGTGATGATTTTGCATGGGTGTAAATGGATGGAATGAGCATAGGGTGGCACCAGCCCACCATTTATAATTGGTCCCCACAGATGCCGCTGGCTTGGATTAGTGTAAAATTGGAATGTAACCTTTTGTACATTTCCTTAAGTAATGCTTTTTAAAACTGTACTTCTTACTGAAGTACAGTATTTCTATTTTATGCTGCTTCCACTTCTACCAGACTTTAGATGCCAGTATATTACTTTATACTCCATACCATTTATTTTAAAGCTTTAACTGGATTAGTAGTATCCAATAATATTATGGATAGACTAATGAGTGCTTTTACTTTAGCTACATGCTTCATGGTTCAGACACAGTTTTTTTAAACATATCTTTAAAAAAACATAACCTTTGACCCCCATGTTCCCCATTCACTCTGCTCACCTGGTTTGACTTCCTCTGAGCAGCAGGCGAGGACGCAATCCCGCTCAGAGTGGACCACCCGGGCATCCATGGCTGTTGTCGGTCTGTTTAGCGCCAGCCTGACGTCAACTATGGCGCTCTGGTGCTGCCTGGAGAAACACGTCTCCGGTTCCAGTGCTGACACGGGAAGTGACATCATCACTATGAGTGTGAAAGCAGCGTAAACGAACAGCATGAGCGTCCCCGAGGGTCGTTCAGAGGTGGGAGGGGTCATGGCTGCAGTGGGCGTACTCAGATCAGAAAGGCCTCGGTGTGCAGAGCAGGACAGCAGAAATCCACAGAGATGAACTGCAGAGCACAAACACACTGTTATTAAAGTTTAATCAATGATATCATCACTTTAAGTGTTTCACAGCAAACACTCAGAACAACAGAGGCAAGATGACACTGAATGAGAAAAAAAAGCAGGAAACGTCAGGTGGATTTTTTTGGAACCATTGTCAAAGTCAAACCTTTTAGTACATCTTATTAAGTCTTTCTTGGACTTTGTCTGAGACTTCAAACCCTTGTCAGGATGTCTCAGAGTCCCAGATCTGTCTTGGACCACAAAGAGAGCAAAATTAGATCTGTGGAGAGAAAATAGAAACCTAAAAATGGAAGCTGTTCCTGAAGGATGTGGCGGGGCAGCTTCTTTTTTTAGATTACTACTGAACGAGGTCAGAAAGATGTTTGAATCAGAGAGAAAAATGTGGTGGAAGAAGCATTCAGACCGCTAATCTAAAGATATTCCAGCGCTGCATCAAAATTAAGGAAAAGGAAAAGAGGCCACGCCTCTAATAATAGAAACTTTAAACCTACAGAGACCACAGCAGGCTGTACATTTAATATGAGAGTCTTTGGGGATTGACACACTGTTGGGGCCTGAGCTAAACATTAGAGGAATCATGCTTTCAGTGTTTCATTTTTCCACTCCAGTGGTTGACGCTTACAGACAGAAGTGCAAAAATCTTTTACATAAATTGTTGTGACTGAAAATCTGACGTAGATCCTTAAAGAGGACCCATTCTCCTTCACCTGACATCCTGCATATATATTTCCTGTTCCAGCAATGGCACATGTTCATGAGGCTATATCAAGTCACCACATGGTTGTAGCACAGGTTCATTCAGCTGTGTATTTCAAAGGTGGATGCTTACAGAACAGGTCAAATATAAAATGCACTTGTCGCACCACATCACATTCTTTAAGGGTATAACCAATCCATCTCCACTGAGTGGTTTTAAAGTGCATCCTGCATCCAATACTGTATGTCACATTCATCTACAGTTAATGTTTAACCAGACCAGTGTGAGCGATGGTTTAGCTCACTGGGTAGAGCAGGTGATCCATGTCCTGTGGGGCTAATGCAAAGACCTGGGTTTAAATGTGCCCCAAGGCTTTTTGCTACATGTC